CAGCATTTACATGCCTTCGGAGACAATTCTTGGGAAATGACACTCTTCACGGACTAAGCGATCTGAGGGGGTGTGAATGGAAAAGACTAAAGCAGTTCGCAAAAAGCACGGAATTCCTAGATTCATAGGGAATCAAACCCAAATATTTTTCTTTATATTAAACACTTTTACTAATTCTTGATTTTAACTTTCACCGCACATCTAGAGCGCACAACAGGCCTCATATGGCTTAAGTGTATGTCCCTATCATGTTGGATTTGTGGTGGTATCGTCCACCCCTCTTTTCAACCTAACCTAATTCGACCCTACACTAATTCCAGAATGTCCCTTTAAACTTTCAAGTGAAAATTTCAATAAAACTTGAAGAGATAGTCGATTTATTGTGCCAGCATCAAGCGACGGCAGAAGGGTTTCTCCAACGTTTAACGCGTTTTTTCGAAACAGTGTTTTACAATGAAATTCTCGACAAGATCTTCCTTATTTTCTAACTCGGTTAGTAGTTGAAAATAGGGGTACATTCCTTTAAGGATATAGTCAGTTTCTAGAACGTTGCCTAGCTCTAACATTTAGCCAAGTAAAAAGGGATACCAGGAATGTCAACTTCTTATTTGCTGTTGTGTGGATTTTCAAGTCCGGAAATTGTTGCGTCGGTTGTGCATTATATGACATGACATCGGGTGAAATAATACATGGAAGATACAGCTACAGCTATAGTTTTGCTGTATTCATTAATATCGAGGGATACTTCAAAAAAGTCAGCACAGAAATGCTTATCCTATCTTTAGAAGTCTTTTGAGTTTGCCAATCAGTTATGGACTAAATCAGTAATCTGCTAAGGAATAGATGAATAAACTATAGCCTATAAGACATAACTATAACGAACAATGTAGGAAATTTAAATGGAAATACCACATACAGTTTCGTTTCGACAAGGAAACAGATGAGGGCCCTTCTGCAAAAAGGCCGTAGGTTATAAATTGGGCTACAATATTAAGATGATAAACTGGATCATAGTTAATAAGGGCCTAATACCTGAAACAAGGGTAGTCACATCGGATTTTTCTTTTAAAATAATTAAACGAAATGCATTATTTATTGATAGAAGAGCGGATGACCTCTATTTTATGTATTTTTTTGGTAATATAGATATCTTTTTAAATTTACAAAAAAAATCTTCAAAAATGTATATTCATATTGGAGTTTTCTTCTCTGCATGTTTTTTTTTTTTTTGTATGGAGAGCAACTTAATATGTTATCAAATGTTGACACACATCCTTTTTTGGCTATTTAATAAGTTTCCTTTCAAATGTTCCCAAAATATCGAAATTTGGGGGATACCGCAATATGGGGGCACCCCAGAAACTTGGACAAAAATTCATAATTTTCAGCAGGAAGATTTGGTACCAAATTAGAACCCAATATACTCAACTGCATCCAATTCGATCGAAAAACGTGTTCAAAATCCTCTAGCTACCGAAATTTGGAGGATACTACTAAATGGAGGGCTGCCCTAAAAACTTAATCAATATTAACAATTTTTGCAAATGAGATTTGGTAGCCAGTAAGAAATTAAAGTATCAAACTACAGCCAATTAGATTTACGAAAATCCTCAAAATGCTGAAAATATGGAAGCATTAGCCAAACATAATCCGATATAGTGCATATTCCCTCCACTAATTCCCATAGGTTCCTGCAAAATTTCAATAGCTCAATTTGTTTATAAGGTCATAATTTAGCGCCGCTAGATCAGCGATATCGACCACTGTGCGCCTGCCTGATAACAAGACGTTGCTACAGCTAGTAAACTATGTATAACATCACAGGAAGCAAAAAGTGTATGAGGTTTGGGAAGATAGCGCAATTCTGGAACATTTTCTACGCCATCCCCAATTTTTTCAAGCCCTACAACCCTATTCTTGAGAAGTGAGACTATTCACGAACTAACTGAACTAAGGGCGTGAGACTGGAGGATTTCACTAAGAACATAGCAGACATATCTCTATATGCTTTCTTCTAGATTTCCTAGAGCACACTTTTGGACTTTTGGTGGCGACACCACATTTAAACTTAACCAAACCGATATCTGATTTTGAACCGACTTTTTTGCACAATTTCTGCCGATCACGAAAACCTTGAAATTATAAAGGTTTATCTCTGTGGTTTCTAAACTTTGTGATTGAAATTTGGCATCTATCAAACTAAGTTCATAAAACAATTTGTTTTATTTTCAGTTGACGAAAACGGACCGCTTAACGTATAGAATACTACAAAAACCGTGATTCAGCGCCAACCACATATTCTGTTTTAAGAGAAGATTATAATTTACATAGTCGTCCAAATACGCAAGCAATTTTCAAACTTTTGAAGACATTTGAAAAGACTGGAGCAGTTACAAATATAGTAAGGCATGTACATCACATATTCGCTCGTTTCGCTAAATATCGCAGCTGTAAGTGAAAGTGTTGCCGAATGTGTCGATTCCTCGTTGCTCTCAGGAATTAGGACTATCTATGACATATTTTGCTTTTGGATCCATATAAAGTCCAGCTCACGGAAAAACTGAAACCAACTGACCATTCACAATGTCGTAAATACGAGGAATGGGTGCTTCAACAAAAGACGGTGTACGGCAAGTCACAGAAAAAATCACTTTTTGGTGCGCTTTTTATCCAAAGTTTGATTCGGTTCCACTTCTTTGAAAACTGCGATCGAATGACTCTCACGGTCAATTCGGAGTGTTATGGTCATAGGATAACCGACTTTTTTTGTTGAAGAATCCGACTGGGAAAATATGTGGGGTCAGGAAGACACTGCCACCTACCATAAAATACGACCGAATATGAATTTATTGAAAGAGATATTTTCTGGCCCCGTAATTTCTCGTCGTGGCGATATCAACTGGACACCAATATAATGCTATTTGACACCATTAGTTTTTTAAAGGACAACACGGAAGATAGTGTTTGTTCAGATAAACCTTGAACTCTTGAGCACATTCGTCAAGTTATGGTTGGAATACCGCCCATTATGTGTCAAAAAGTGTCCGAAAAATGCCTCAACCTCAGAGGTGTCGATTGTGGAGAGAATATCAGCCAATTTGGTGCGGTGCATGGGCTGGTGGCATCACTGGACCGTACTTTTTAAAATATGCTGAGGATCGTAACGTAACTGTGAATAGTGAGCGCTTGAAATATTAACCCATTGTGGCCCAATGTTGCCCACATGCAACGAAATGTTTTAGAGCTTATATTTAATATGCAGCTAGTAGATATATATTATTAGGATTTCAAGGCCTGATTATAGACGACACATATAAAAAGAAAAATCAAAAAAATTAAAAATTTTGGTAAAGTTTTTCAATATAGGGAAGATATTCAAATTGTACGACTTCTGCCATCAGAATTATTTTTCATCCTTGTAAAAATGAATATAAAGAATAATTTAAATCTTTTTTTGTCGATTTTGCATTTGGTTTTCTTGATATTGGACTTTAATTTCTCCGAAAGAATGTACTGTATCTCCCGAATGCAAGGATGTAGCGATGTCAAATGTTGTGCATATCCTATTTAGGATAGTTGCATTAAATCTATGAACAGAAATTTGTTCTAAGATTGTGGAAAAAGGGTATGTCGAATAGTGACTAAGAGGATGACCCGTTGACGCGAAGTCGCGGCTAACATTTGCTGGAGATAATCTTCAAACATTAAATTACACAGACCGTATTCAAATAGAGATTTCATGCATAATTCAGACTTTCATGTGCTTTTTTTTGGAAAATATTCCTGTAACTCTTAGAAATTCACCCCTTTACCTACAAATACGGTGTATTTTGTACCTATTAAAGTTGAAAAATGCACCTGCAATTTCAGCCCCTTCAGTATGGGTTAATCAAATTTATTTGCTTTAGTATAAACGCATACATTTTATTAACCATTTAAATACAACTCTTATTTAAATATTTGAAATTACCGGTTAGCTATATAAATATTTTGTAGATAGTACTAAAAACTACATCTCTGAACCTACTACATTATTACACAACCAATACTAGACGAGGATCTTACTTCTCATAAGTAGTACCTAAGCTCAATCAAATTTCAATAAAATCGGTTCACTCCGAGTCCGGACCCCCCGACTCTAATTCGTTTAAGGGAACACTGAAGGCTTAAGATCATTACCCACGCTTGCCCAAGTTGATGGACTAGATCATAAGCTGGAAGTAGTTCCTAAACAAGGAGTAGCCAACATTATCGTAAATTTTGTTGTTTCGTGTTTCTTCTATACCTAAAATTGTACCTATACCAAAAATACCTAAATGAGGGCGGGACTGTTTTCACTCATTGCTGCAGCTTCGGTTAAAAATGCGGTTGAAACCTTGCAAGAGCTGAAAACCGTATTTATAACATCGAATTTTATTCAGATAAGGTGGTCGACGAATATTTCAAAGTGTTACAAACAAAATTTGAATTTGATTTGAGTGGCACCTTACGGAATATGTGTGATATTGCATTTATATATTGCCGACCGATACTTTCTGACTAGTGGGAAGTCACCTCATATGAAATGCTGTACTACTGAACAATTTAAAGATTCCATTTTGCTAATCACTATTTGGAGTTATTGTACATTTTTTTGCTGCCGAAATTTATCAAAATATTTAAATATAAACATTAAAACGATTTTCTTTCCAATTGAAGTAGATGATATTTGAAATATTCCATATATACATACATATAAACATACATACATATTTTCTCTGCATCTGAGAGTACATTTGTATAAAGGAAAGAGACAAAAAGGGGTTTCTTCTACAATATATTTTGTTTATATTTCATTTTTATTTGGTATGTGCGGTTATTCATTTATTTATTTATGTATGAATGCGTTTTTTTACTTTGATATTTGAATATTTTATTTGCATGTGGTTTATGTGCGTGAGTGAGTGTGTGTGTGAGTATTATTTTGTTTTGCATTGTTTGATTTGATTTTGTCTACATACTCAAGTAGCAGTTGCCGCAGGGTTGCTTCATCTTCGCCATGACATCTTAATCTCGATTCGTAATTTGCATTTCGTTCACGTTCGTTTTGTGAGTGACGAGAACGTTTTGGTACATAACTGAATGAATGACGATAAAAACGACCAGCTGTATTACCGTTATTTGTATTTGAACTAGCGAAACCACCACTACCACTGTTGCGTGTATTTGTATAGGCGTCTGCATCAGGGCGACAAAAATAATTCCGTAGATGAATAAAAGCGGCAGGAAGAGAAAAAGGGAAAGAACAATTTTGTTTGTTGGTTAAAATTTCATAACAATTACAATGTTTTGTGTGCAGTCTGTATGTTTGTGTGTAGGGGTTTTTTGTGTGTGTAAATGTGTAGAATATTAAATGTTTCGTATTTTCACTAGAATGCTGCGGTTTCTGCTGTCCAAACCTCTGGAAGAATTTCTGACTGAGTGTATATTTGATTTAGAGTATATTTGGAACAATAGCTCACATAGTCAGACTTAATATAGGATTGCTAAAAAATATTACCAGAAGCAAAATTATGCTAACCAATTTTACCCTTTGAAGCAAATGTACCCCAGTTGCGTTGGTGAGAAATAAGGTTAAAACCTTGAAAATACTAAAATGGATTGGTAGCGTTATATGGTAGATATACCAGAACAAGGTATTGATATTGCTTAGTGGGAAGCTTTGACTCTAAATTAGAACTCAGTATACCAAAACAATAGTCTATTCGGTTGGAAAGGATCGTGAACCAAATCCCCAAAATATCGAATAATGTGGAGTGCCGCTCTTTGGGGGCTACCCTGAAAGATGTGTGAATATTGATAATTTTATTGGGACTGTAATCTATGATAATTTTCGTCAGCAAGCTTTGCTACTCAATGAAAACTCAATCTACCAAATTACAACTATCCAAAAAAAGTGGTCAAAAATGATAATTTTTGATAGGAAAATTATATTCAATGGGACTTCAAAATACCAAATGGGAATACAGAAAAATGGGAATTACTGGTAATGACAAATTATAGTCACATAGATTAGATTTGGACCTTATCTTGGTATCTATTCCATATCATCACCCGTAGAAGTAGTGAGTTGATATGTGCCGCGAGTTCACCCAGAAAAACTATAAAAAATGACTTGAGACGTCAGGTTAGTTGCCACATTCGGAAAACCCCTTCTACTATGAAAAAGGAACGAAAAAGAAAACCAAACCCCCTAATGTTGACGACATCCGCAAACGTATAAAGAACCACAATCTGCGAATCTGTTCTTGGAATGTGCGCACGTTGTACAAAATAGGAACAGTTTTCGAATTGGTGGATTTACTCAAGAAGTACAAAACGGACATTATTGTCATACAAAAAATGCGATGGAAAGGGACTGGCGTAGTTAAAGCAGATGATTATACACTGCAATATAGCTGACATAAAACGAGACATGAATTTAGCTGCGAATTTTTAGTTAAAAGGAGAATAGGAGATTCACTCCAGCAAATTGCTAAAATCCGTATAGAAGCGAAGTTTTTCCAAATCAGATTTATTTGCGCCCATACTCCGACGGAAGACAAGTAAGAAGAGACAAAAGACATTTTTATGAGATCTTAGAAACAGCATATGACCGCTGCAATGGCAATGTCATAAAAATTCTGCTAGAAGATTTTAATACAAAAATTTGGAAGGGAAAATACTTTTGGTCGCACCGTCGGAAAATTCAGCCTCCACGAAGAAATATCTGATAACTTCGGGGCACAAAAAACATGGTATTTAGCAGCATCAGATTCAAGTACCTCGATATACACAAGGCCACCTTGTTTTTTCCCGATCAAGCAACAAGAAATCATATTGATCACCTCATATATGACAGATGGAAGGCATTCATCCAGTGTTTTAGACATTCAATCGATCCCAGAATATCAATTCGGATCATTACTTTGTAGCAGCCAAGGTTCCCACTTGTCTTAATGTAGCGGCAGAGATGCGATCTAATGTAACACGGAAACTCGACGTCGAAAAGCTGTAAACACAACAGAAGCTTTATCCGCTCAACTTACCCACCTGCTTGACGAATGCACACCTTGTCCCGATAATAATATAGAAGCACAAGGGCAAATAATTGCCCACAACCTACAAATTGTAGCAAAAGCAACAATTGGGTAGCAAAAACCACCAAAAATAAATCCATGGTACGATCAGGAGTGCCGTAATGCTACTTAGTTGTAAAACGCAGTGTATAGGGCAATCCTGCAGACAGTAGCAACACGTAATTTCAAAAAAGAAGAAAGAACAAGAAAAACGTGAGCGTGAGCAAATCGAGATGTACAGGTGTCAGAAGGAAGTCCGGATATTACAACGAGTACAACACCAAACCGAAGGCTTTGGTGCAGGCACATCCTCCTGTAAATATGAAGAATGAAACCTGGTGACATATACGGAAAACGTGTTTGGAATCTGAAATGACGGTACAGAGTGTATACCACCTAGCCAAGATGATTTCAATCTATCGGCTGAAAAATAACAAAGCAGTGGGTACTGATGGGTTACCAGCCGAACTATTAAGACTGGTCAGATGCAGGTCAGGAGCATGCGCCAGCTTATCAGTACAATTTGGCTTGAGGAATATATGCCCAATGATTGCAACTTCAGCCTCCTGTGTCGTGTGCACAAAAAAGGAGACAATACGATATGTGCCATTGAAGCTATTGGATCATATCAATGCGGTTTCAGACCTGGCAAATCCACTATAGATCAGGCACTGAGCCAAATCATGGAAAAGACCCACGAAAAAAACACAGAGACACATTCCACCTATTCGTCGACCGCCGATAGCCCAATCCGCTCAGCTAAATTAATACGGCTATGTAGGATAACTTTAACTGGCACAAAATCAGCCGTTAAAGTCGAAATGACCGCTGGGAGGCCTTCAATACCGAACGAGGATTCACACATGGTGACAGTTTGTAGTGTGACCTTTCTAATATCCAGCTGGAAAATGTCGTACGAGATGCAAATGTGAAAAGAAATTGCACTCTGTACACCAAACAACACATGTTACTCGCATACGCCGATGACATCGATATAGTGGGTCCATGAGCTTCGAGGTAGTGAACGATTTTATATACATCAGCTTTGAAATCCGGAAAAGAGTAGTGTTGGCTCACAGATGCTACTATGGTCTAAGCAATTGAAAAACAGGAAGTATTAGTTTGGGGAAAAAAGAAATCCATATTTGTATAAGATATATAGGACTTTATTTAACATGCATCGAAACGTCCGATTTGGGCCAAATATGCACCGTGTTGTTGTATGATTTGTTGCCACATTAAAGGTAACTTCATAATGCCTCTCACATAGAAGTCCTGCTCTCTGATTACAAAAAGCCTTCCTGGCCATTCTTGGTTTGGCTACCGTTTGAGGTGCTTCACCGCTTTTTGACTACGATCGTTTTCGCACAGGGTTATCGTATGCGCTCCATTTCTCATATCCACTCTCCATCCGTTTAAGAAATGGGTCTATCTCATTCCGTTAGGCCAAGGCTCCGCAGATGGAAATTCGATCCATCCTATTTTTTCTGTTAAATGGTGTGGCACACAAACATCGACATTTTTTTTTTTTTGGACCCTTTGTGTAAATTGTTTAAACCAGTTTTATGGTCGATGCGAGCAACGTGGATGGATTTTCTTTTTCCCCAAACTAATATTTTGCCTCCAAGAATCTGAACATAAAATCTTGTGTGTGTCGGTGTATGAATATTTCGAGGTGTTGCAGTCATACTTACGAATGTTTTGGAAGGCTTCAAAAATATTGTTTAATAAATACATACAAAATGTTGCCGATCTCCATGTGCCTCCTCATGGGTGTGAGTAAAAGATTCCCTTCCCTTTGTTCAATTTACGAATTTTCGTCATCAAAATGTCCATATGTATGCGTATGTGTGTATATACGTTTGCTCAATGTTTTGATGTGTTAATGTAATGTAATTGTGTTTTGTGTGGATGTGTTTTCTTATGTTGGAGTTAATTGTTACTTACCCTCGGGTCTCAATCTAACTGGAGGCGAGGTCAACTTAAGTGCTGTTGTAGAAGGCGGAGTCTTGCGTCGACCACCAAACACATAGTCATATGAATCTTCACTCAAATTGGACACTATTTATATATATATAGAAAATTCAACACAATGTTTTGTTTTTCAAAAATCTTGAATGGATATTGTTTTTTTTTTTATATTGAAACAAATTAAAGCACAATGAAAAAATCAATCACACAAAACAATTGAAAATTATAAAAAAAACTAAGAAAAACAAATCATCGAAAAAGAAATCAATAAGAAAAATAAAATAAATTTACAGTAGACATTCTAATATTTAACAGAAATTATTTGTTGTTTTTTTATACATAAATATTTCCTGCTGAATATGTATATAGATAGATATATGCATGAAAATAACTGGCACGCACAAAACAGTTCTAACATTGTTGTCAATAGATACTTTTTTTGTTTGTTTGATTTCAACATTTCGCTAGCTAGTTTTGTGTTCCACATGATGTTGTTGAGAGTTTTTTCTTTTGGTGTAATTGTTTTTGTTTTATACTCACTCTACAGCGTAATTTTAGTTTGTAGTTTGTTTTATATATAAATTTATTTTTTGTTGTTGTTAGTTTTAGTTTTTTTAAGCCAAAAATTTAGATTTTTTCATAAATTTATGCATTTTTTTGTTTGTTTACAAAAAAATATAGTTTGGATGGCCATTGTCGAATAAAAATTCACAAGGATTGAAAAATAAAACAGAAGAAGAAGAAAAAGGAAGTAGATTTTGTTTTATTTAAAACTTTGTAAGCATTTTTGTTTTTGGTGGAATTGAAAAAGTTATAATTTTCTTTTTTGTTTATTTTTTTTCAGTACTTCTTTAGTGAACATCAACATACATAGAGAGAGAGAGAGTTAGAGATGAGACAGAGAAATTAAAGGATATGGAAATGGATACAAAAATTTGTAACAAATAACAAAAAATTATAGGAATATCAAATGCAAGTGATTATGAAGGAATGCAATAGCCCCTCATTATTGGGGGGTTTAATTTTTTTCATTGCTGGTGGAGGACGAAATAAAATCTCTTTCAATGCATCAATCACATAAACCAAGCAAATCTGGATTTCTAGTGTCATTACTTTGTACGGCTGGTTGGATGATGATGATGGTTGGTTGGTTGATAACGGTTTTGGTTTTTTGTCTTGCTTCATTTCTGATGAAAAAACTGAAGTAAGCATTACAAATTTAATTCACAAAAATATGTTGTTACATAAATACTTGCACTTAGAAAATTATACAACCGTAACAAAAAATTAAAGGAGCTATTCAAAAAATTGGCTTTCCTGTATATGAAAGCTTCTCTCCGCTAAAAGGGATGTTTTTTCTTCTCATGATGGTGATGATTTTTCAACAGTTAAGGATTAAAAGGGTGCTTCTGATTGCAACATCAATGAAATAAAAATTTTCAAAATATGTGGGAGTTTTTTTTAACACATTCTCACAAAAATGCTATACAAAAGCAATATCTGATTATTTGGTGAAGGATTTAAAAATAATTTGTTTTTGTTTATTTTTGATTTACAAATTTACAATTAGATGGGAAAACACTATTCTATTTGATATAAAATAAAATATAATGTTTAAAAACAAATAAAAAAATTTCGTTATATTCGACTGGGACGTACTTTTTTATACAACCTATCGTAACGAAAAAAGAAAACAAAATTCGGGTGGTATGGTAACATTGGAGCTATGTTAAAAATATTTCAACAGAGGAGTATAGTAGGATGATCCCTACACGACTACTGCTGATGTTTAATTTTCTGCAAATCTATTTCCCTAGCATAACAAAATTTCACCTTAAGTTGTATAGTATTCGTAAAATATATATAATTTTTCGCAGAAGGATTTGCGATCAAATGAAGATTCACGTACCGAAACTCTCTAAAATACTGCATAATGAGATGTGCCGTTATATGGGGGCTATCGCAAAAAGTAGGGAGATGGGAACTCAAAGTACCAAATTACAATCAATTCTTAAATCTTACAAATCCTATCATGATTTCGACAGACGAACAGATAGACGAAAATGCTTAAATCGACATCGAATTTTATTCTGATCAAGAATATATACACTTTATGGGGTCTCCGATGAATATTTCAAGGTGTTGAAAACGAAATAACAAATTTAATGTACGCTCCACTGGATGTGTATAATCAAAGTGTTAGCATGTAGGTCCGGTTCTGTTTTTGTTTCTTCTTCTGGTCGCACTAGATGCTATAATTTGACCCGAAAATTTTAAAATTATACACGATGAAGGGAAAGGAATAAACATGGCTCTTTTAATGACGATCAATCAATATTTAGCGGGTCAAATGGTCAAGACTGTTACAGAGATGGTCCGTCAGAAATAGTGACGTAAATGACATACATTTCCAACGTATAATACATACGTGAGAAACATCGGAAACCCTCCCAAAACCATTAGGTTTTTGACAAAATAGCTATTTCCATTAATAAATTTTGAAATAACGTATGCTTTACTCAAATCCATATCGAATTTCGAAATTTTCTTCTCCAAAAAGTTTAGAATTTTTTATCAGTTCTAGTAAAGAATAGTCAGATATATGTAAAAATAATATATATTCTTGAAAATAACAGTATATGGTAATAATATTGAAATAAATGACGTTTACTACATTTTATACAGGTATATGACGTTTTCGACGTTTACACCTTTTTGACAGTCGAAAACCTAAAAAATCGTCACACTGACCATCCCTGGACTGTTATGTTATGGGAAAAAAATCATATTATGGTCCGGAAGAGATGATAGAAATATATTGGTTTTGGTATATTCCTAAATAAAAAGCTGCCTTTCCAACTATGGATTTTGGGGAAGTTGTGGCTTTGTTGGCAATTTTTTTCTGGAAAAAATATATTTGTAATGATTAGCGTGATTTATGGTAAAGACAACGAAAAGCAGTGAGCAGAGCAGTATTGTCTGAAGTGGTCGACAATATGATACCCGCATCTACCATGCATTTTTTCATATCACAGTAAAATCTTGGTTGACTTGATCCGCTGAATAGTGACAGATCATTACAAAGGCCTTTCTAATTAGTTGGCCGTATTCCTTTCCCAGTATAATAAACGGCTTGTATTACTGTGGTCTATAGAGCAACTGGATGAAACATAAAAAATTAAGCTTTTGGCACATTTCTTCCCAAAATGTTTTTCTGTTCATCATCGAAAATTATAGGCGTAGACCATAACTGGAATTTCATGGAAAATTTTATAGCGGTCAACAACATAGTTCCGTCCTCTAGTGTGGTAATGGGTTTCTAAATAATAACAGAATACCTAGACACCTGTATATAATTAAGTATAACTCTCACATTCGAGTAGATACATCACTATAATTGGCATTAATTTAAAGGTCAATCACTGAATTTTCGTGACTGGTGATTGATCTACATCCGTTGCCTGTAACATGTGGCGACTCAGCTAGTCGAGATATGACGTTCTGCATACTAAAAGGTTGGTCTAGGCCAATATTGTGTAGGCCACAGTTGTGTAGGGTATAAAAATAACAATAAAAGTCATATTTTGATATAGGACCCACACGGTGATATCGTGTGTTTTCAAAGTCCTTGTCGGAGTTTCTAACATCGTTGCCAGTTCACGATATTGTAAGCGTTCAAAAACTATGCTTTGGAGGTTTCTCAATCGAGTTTGAAAAAATTTTCGCAATTAGTTTGAGTGCATGACAAAATTTCTAAAACATACTGGATGATAAGTATTCCCATTTTTATAGTGGGCCAGAATTATTTGTAGCAGCCTTCGCGTGATATTTAATGCTATGAACTATGTCTTTATAATATATATATATATATATATTTTTTCTTTGTTTTTGCAAAATAGTCAGGCTTAATCCCAGTTTGTTGTTTTTATAAAAAACAACTATTTATTAGTGGGGAATGTATGGCATTGTCCGCCGAGGGGTAAGGCAGGGAAGACTATAGTTTCGGATCTCGCCACTGATCCTCATCATTGTCACAAGAGACATTTGGGTTTGAAAGGTTTTTTGTAAAGAAGCTATTAATAGCTTCTGGGGAGAATATCCCAACAAAAAACTAAGGGAACTGATGAGGATCAGTGGCGAGATCCGAAACTATAGTCTTCCCTGCCTTACCCCTCGGCGGACAATGCCATACATTCCCCACTAATAAATAGTTGTTTTTTATAAAAACAACAAACTGGGATTAAGCCTGACTATTTTACAAAAACAAAATACAAATGGTATCCCAAATAACCCGCCAAAAACTACTGAAGGATATTTTTTTTTTTCTCTAACCACAGCCATCATAATTTACTGGGCAAAATTTCTTAATGCTCAGGTTCTAATTGTGGGCTCTAGAGCGACTAAAAACACAACAAAAAAACTGTATTTGGTCATTCTTGCCAAATTTCGAGACCACGTAATATAATAAAATTACATTTAAATTTTAATGAAATACAAAAATCACACTTATAATATCTATAAGTTATTCGAAAAGTGCATGGCTAATATCCATAAAATACATCATTTTCATAGTTGCTTTACAACATAAACTATTTGCTTTTAATGTTCCCATTTCCATTCCCAAGATTTTTTATTTTAACGTTTTGTACATAAAAAACTTAAAAGCAATAATAAAAAAATCAACATGTAAGGGCTACAATTTTGTGGTAAACGCAACTAACTAAATAAAAATTTAGCATGCAAACGACAATAACAAAATGTGTTCTCCAAAAAATATGGAGAAATCAAATACACACATACACACACTTGGAAAAAAAACAAAATCATTCTCCAATAAAAGTCACAATAACACAACATGTGTCTTTTTTCAAACTCAAAATCTACAAGAAAAATTTGTACATTAACATTCAAAATAACAAGAAACAACTGTTTTTTTTGAAAAGTATTTTTTGTTTTGTTTTTGGTAATGCAATGCCCACCTGGAAATACCGTTAAAGGTTGTAAGACTTGTGTTGAACGCAGTGGCGGTAACAGCGGTGGCAATTGTCCAAATGGATCCTGATCGTTGGATATGGAAGACGATGTTGGTGGCGAGATCATCGATATATCAACGCTATGCGCCATTTCATAATTGCGGCCAGCTATAGTTTAGTTTTAGTTTTTTAGTAGTTTTTTGTTATGGAAATTAAAATAATAATAATAGATGAGGGAATAGAAAGAGAATAGAGAAATGAGGTAATATTTGATTATTGTTTTTTTTAGTCAATTTTTAAAATTCTAAATATTAGATAATAAATATTTTCATTATTGTTGGTAATCATTGACCGTCATCGTGGCGTATGAGTAATAATGAGCGGAATACAATAAGGTATACGCCCCCTAAAAACGTGATAGAATGATTTCTTTCGTTTTAGAGGCAATGTACCGCCGTTTTATATACCATATAGCAATATCATCGGAATTGTTGCTAACAAAATTGCCAGCAGTAATTGTAATAATTAAGCTATAAGTACATAAACTCAATATATTATTTTTCTATACAGTATTTTTCGTTTAATTGGCCCACATGATGGGTCAACAAAAATGATTAGGTTGTACCGAATTTCGTGCAAATCGAAAGATATATAGGGACGGTTTACATTAAATCGGTTAAATATATACATATATATGGGAGCTATATCTAAATCTGAACCGATTTTTCCCAATTTCAATAGGGTTCGTCCTTGGGCCAAATAAGTGACCTATGCCAAATTTCATCCAATTCGGATCATAAATGCGACCTGTACTTTGTTTACAATTTAACATGCACAGACAGACAGACGGACGGACATGCATAAATCGACTTAGAAAGTGATTCTTTGCATATTCTCAAAAGGAACCATGTGTCTATCTCGTTTCCTTTTGCCTGTTACAAACATATGCACAAAGACATAATACCCTGTACCACAGTGTGGTGAAGGGTATAAAAGCTGAATGCTGAAATCAGATTAATTCAAAATTCCGACATGTGAAATTTGAATTTTAAAATCAAATATTTTTTATTTGAAATCAGCTATTTATACCCTTTATATAGCTCCCATATATATTTTCGTCCGATTTTATCTAAATGGTGCACCAAACCCCCAAGGTTTGTCCGATAGAGACAAAATCTTGCACAGCGTACTGTATTAAGTCCAGTTTAATGTTTTTTGTTTTTGAATCGGTTCAGATTTAGATAGCTCTCATATATAGTTTCTTACGATTTTAAGTAAATGGTGCACCAAATACTTTTCGGATTGAGACAAAATCGTGTACAGTATACGGAGTTAGGTCCAGATAGGCGAATGCGAAGTTTTGTTAAACTCGGATAAGATATATGTAAATCTTAGCCGCAGATCTTATCTTAGCTTCCAAATATATTTTCATCCGATTTGTTGTGAATGGTGCACCGATGTTTACGATGTACACGAAATTTGGCAGAGGTGAGTTTAGAAAGATGTGTATTGAATTTGCAAAAATAGGTTTAGATTTAGATATATCTCCCGTATATCCGTATTTTCGTCTGATTTTATGTAAATGGTTCACCGATATATACGAGATAAAATTGTGGACCGCGCACTGTGCTGCAACATATCAAATGTCACGGTTGCTCAATTAAGTCCAGATTTACATATTGCTCCACATAGATTATTTTGCTCCATTTCATACGACTGATACACAAAAGAAACCGATTGACATGCAATCTTTCATAGATTTTAGAATGGTATATGTATGGGTTTTTAATTGGTTCAAATATCTATGTAGATCACACATTTAGTTTCGCACGATTCCATTTAATATTCAATACAAACGCTACAGAATTTGCACTTTGTAATCAGTTAAATCCCGAGAACCTGCAAGTGCTTATATGAAACATATTCTAATATGGGGACCATTTTTCAAATTTGTCCCATATCCGACCCTTTATATCAATCGAACTGGACCATATATTTCCGCAGTGAACGTTTACGCCATACTAGTTATAAAATTTTAAAAAATTTTTTTACACAAAATCTTGGTCTAATTGTCCCGTTAAATATTGACCGATCATCATCAAAACAGACATGCTTATTCGTTGAAGCAATTCCAGTGTGAAGATAAAAGTTGACTTATCTAGCTACATACAATGTATATAGTACACTGCTTAAAACAGTATGTAAAGCCACGTAATCAAACAAGTCTGATCACACATTACAGTTATCACTAAACACCTTTCGCGGGAGCATAACCTAGTGTGCGATAAAATTTCACAATTAAATATATGTACAACTACCTTGGTCCTTTTGATCCGCTAAATATTATACTGTAAAACTTCTTTAGGTTCGATTCATAGAGCGACCAGGAAACCAGACAATTTTGTTTTTTTTTCTAATTTGATGTCCTTCGACAAAATAGACCCTACACGAAAAATTTCTCGGACAGACGATCTGACATACATGGCTAGAACTATTAAATCAAAGCAATCGGCATACTTAAATATTGGTAAAGGGCTAATATTTCTTGGCGCCTTTTATACCCACAGTCGTATGGCTAATGAGTGTATATACACTTTGATACGGCAACATGTGCTTCATCGGAATATTGGTTTTAGGCCCAAATTCGTTTCAGACAATTTGGGTTCGATTTACAAATGTCCGTTCGTCTGTCTGGCCGGCTAATGTGAACACCAACTCTCGGCTACTTCGATTTCATCAAAACTTTGTACATCGTAATATATTTTCCAAACTCAGTTCTAGTTCGATGATGGGGAACATCGGTCATCTGCTCCCCCACAATTTGGCTAAAATTACACAAACAAGTAATTTTATAATAACATGCGAACCATCCAATCCGATTTAAACCAAACTTTGTGCAACCTATTACATTTACAAACCAAGCAAGATCAAGTCCGAAGATGATACCCGTCGGTCCTCTCCTTCTGGTACCTCCAGCACAAAGAGCCAATATTTTATAAGATGAGAACCATATGTCCAATCCTCCCCCACTTATGGTAAAAATTTTCTATATATATATATATATATATATATAAATCTAATACCAGGCGATTGGAATGTCCGATTTGAACCAAACTTTGCACAACCTATTATCATTACCAAGCCTATATCAAGTCCGGGACTCATTAGTCTAGTCATACTGGTACCTCCAAACATTGCACAACCTATCATTAATGCCAAGCTTGGAAATATGATTTGAAGTGAATTGAATATATACCTTATATAAAGTGAACATATACCTTATATAAAGCAAATAATAAAACATGTATGTTATTCCGAAGACCTCCGCAAACCATACGCTGAGGTTTTTTTGTTTTATCAAGTTTTTATTCTGTTTTTTTTTTTTAACAAGTGGCCAGCTTTCTTCGAATCATCGCAACCCTATGTATAAATAAAAAAGATCGAGCAAGGGAAGCTCTAAAATGCTTCTTAGTCATTTGAACTTAAACACAAAAATAGTAGTCAACATTCCGATTCGGAGGTTCATCGCGGAAAGTTCCCAAAAAATCTTCGGAGTATATGTAAGGAGTTAATTTTTTTCTGAACCAGTTCTCTCCATTGGTTCATTGAGAAACATAATAGGGGTGCTAAATCTTATTTTCAATATAAATGTGGCAAAATGAAGCCCACATTTATATGGTCTTCGTATAAGTCTTCGTATGAGAAATTCGATTTGAAAATGAAAGCAAAGAGTTTGTTCTCTTTCCTTCATTATGTCAAAAAGAAATGTTTAAAAACATAAAGCGAATTAAATTGAAAACCATTTACTGTGTTGTCATGCATATCTACATAATAAATATGTTAACATCAAGTACTCGAATATTTAAAATTTTTCCCAATGTAGCATTCGAAAAGATTTATTGAATCAATTGTAATCAACTTAGAAAAAATATATTTCCCGTAATGGACACAAATGTGCAATTATAAATGCGTTTCTCTTTAACAGCCAATTCACAACTGACCAAATCAGATTTTTCAAAACGCTCACAGAAGTGCATTCTGCCTGACGAATCTGCCCATTTTCTGATTCCATTCGAAGAAACTATTTTGTTAATTCCATGTCCACATAATCGCTATCACTTTATTACCTAATCCGTATAATTTTTTATTATTGCTCAATGTAAATTGTTGATGCGTTGGCAAATACGATACACATGTATCTGAAACGGCGTCAGGCGTGACGGTCTTTAACCTTTAGAGTTAGTACTCACACACACACTCGCAGAATCGCATACACTAAAGATAGGTGGATATATTTTCGTAGGATATGCGACATCACTGCCAAGAAAAATTGCCAAGCAAAAGTTTAAGTGATCACAAAGTTCGTTGTATGTCTGCAGGAAAGTTAAAGAATACAAACTACAACTACACGTGTCCTCAGTGTATATATGTATATGTAAATATTAGCGTTTATCCTGGCATTCGTCCGTTGAACGAATCCTCTGATTGTTGGGTATAAGTGAATGAATAATAATATGTTGCTAACACGACCATCGTCACAGATATCACCAACACCACCACGACAACAAATACAGCTACGATGAGCTCCATTCATGAGATGATGCTGCTGTTGTTTGGTGCTACTCTTCTCGGTTAGCCTGTGTTTGTTTTCGTTGTTTGGCACATTGGCCTGCTTATCATTGCAGGGGTTTATTTTGTTTTCGTTTCATTTTTTCTACATCTTCATAGGTTAAATCCTTCCGCATTGCAATGTCACTGTAGAATATGCTGGAAATAATTTACACTGTGGCTATGTGGAATATTTCGTTTTGACGAAAATATTCCCGATGGTAAGGGGTTTTTTGAGAAATGTACAAAGAGGAGGTCTTCTGAATTACTTATTATTCGCTTTACGGATTTCGATATGGATTTTATCTAGGACAAAACTTGTGCAAAGTTTTTTTTTTCAAATGGGACATTCCATTCATCTGATGTAGGTTTTATACATATTGAAAATTTTGAACATTTGTGGGGAAGGTACCAGAAGGAGTGAACCAATGGGTCCCATCTTCCCTGATCTAGGCTGGGTAAAGATAATAAGTTGAGCAAAGTTTTGTTCAAATTGAATAGTCTGTGCATAATATTACAAAATTATTTGTCAGCAAAATGTTGACCATTTGTGGGCGAGG